CTCAACCTTCCACTTTTTCACCTGTGCTTTATGTCCCCTTGCTCTCTCTCATCTTGACTCCTGTGATGTTCTCTCCGTGTTTGAGACTTCTCCTACTCCTGTTCTTCCTTCATACACCCATCCTAACTGCCAAGGGTCTTTCTCCCACAAATTCTTCTCTTGAAAATGTCCTTAGTAAATCTTGACAGTCATCTCACTGCTGTGGCTGTGGGTAGTAAACAAAGCTGTGCAACACAGCTGCTTAGTACAAACTCTGGTCTACTTAGAAACACCTACTGAGTGCTGTTTTGTGCTTCCACTTTCAGGAAAGCGAATATGCCCTGGAGAGGGCTTGGCACGAATGGAGATATTCTTACTCATAGCCAGCATCTTGCAGAACTTTACCTTGAAGTCTGTTGTTGACCCCCAGGAGCTCAGCATAACCCCGACACTGAGTGGGGCAAGCAACATACCTCCTGCCTACCAGCTCTGTGCTCTCCCCCGCTGAAAAGCACTAAACCACTCTCTACAGCATCCCCAGCCTGGCTTTTCCTTTACATCTCCTTTACTGAAACCAACAGCAGGAGCATTGGCCCACCTTGCCCAAGTTCCAGGGAAGCAGTCCAAACATAGATATATGCACAGAGTAGACAGCTTTGAAGCCTCCCAGAACTCCACCCCATTACAGGAGGCTCCGGGTGACATTGTAGCCCCTTGCACTGACATTCTGTCATGGGATCATTGAGCACAGTGGCTGCATCAATCAGCTGCTTTTCTCACAAACACAGATCCCATGGGTGCTCCTGCAGCCCATGTCCCACCAAGACCATGCTTTGCAGATGGATAGCACTCCATGTGTGTACTTTAACAAGTCAATAAAGAAAAATCTATTTATGAGCATTTGAGCTGTTATTTAATTTGGGTTGGGGCAGTGCCCACATTTGCTGCTACACTGCAGAGTAGGTCTGCAGTGCCTGTGGCCAGCACCCTGTGGGAGGGGCTGTTCCTCCCAGGCAGGGGTCCTTCCTTGTTCATCCGCTGCGCTCACTGCTGCTGCCTGCAAGGATCTGAGCAGTTGCAACAGACCACCAGTCAGGAAGGCTCATGGTGTTAGAGGGGAAGGGGGTCCTGCAGCCTGAGGGCTTTCTGCCAAATGAAAAGAATGCCTTCCTGTTTTTTGAAGGTTGAGGCAAAGAACTCAGTTACCTGGGACTGCAACCAACTCTCTGGCTGCTCTTTTCTACCATCAGTATCACTGCAGGGATTTGGATGTTCTTTAATAAAATGAATTAATGTAGGAGAACACCAAAGCCATCTCTTTCAGAGAACTTGGGGTACTCCAATGGAATCTGATTTTGCTTCTACATCTCAGAGGCACGATTGCAAACAAGTTCTTTCTCCATCCAATTACTTTTAGTCTCTATAGAATTTCATGTAGGCACAAAAAGAAAACTCTCTTGTTCATAAACTGCAACTGTGTGACCCCTGGTGTCCAGGAAAAGGGTTGTGTCTTCTTGTTATTTCTGGTTGTTATTTCTGGCCCCAGATACAATTTTGTGCTTTTCTTTCAGTTAGAGACTGGATGGTTTTCATAAAAATATTCCACCACAGGCGACTCTCTTCTGGGCTCCTTTGTTCTCATGGGCCTTGGCTGTGTCTGGATGTTCAGTTTGAGGTGTTTGTCTTGATCTTCATTTACATAGATACTTGTTGTCCCCTGCATCATGGTCATATAGAAGTCCTAGAAGCAAAATATAATTTCTTTGATTGGTTGTCACAAGGTACTCGAAAACCAAGTGAGTACTGCAGAGAATACAGTATGCAAGAATTCCCACCTCCCTTTGAAAATGTTTAGCATTATTTTGAAGGAAATATCCTATCTGCCCACGTCAGGTCCATCCCTCCTTCCCCCTCCGTTTTTTGCCCACGAAGGTTGCAGTGCTAATGCCTGTGTACTCTAAAACAATGGCAAACCATTGCTGACCTCTCATCTGGGATTGCATCAAATGGACAGACATGCAACCAGAAACAGCAGTCATGTAGGAGACACAGGCAAGCCTGGGGAGGAGGTTATGACGAGCTTTCTATTAGTCTAGGGCTACCCTTAAAGCCAGTCCTGTGATCAGTAACTCAGCAGCATGTGTGCTATGTTGACAAATTAATAGATGGCTTACGTCTGGAGGTCTGGGAGGAGATGATTCATATTCGTGTCCTTCCTGCCGGCTGGGGTGTTGATTCGTCTGAAGCAATGAACAAAACAGTGACAAACAACATCTATCAACAAGTCACAAACAAAACACCTTGGCAACATTTCTGGAGCCAAATAACACCATTTGTAGTGAGAGGATGATTTCCTGTAGGAAATGAGAGAGAAATCCACTGAAGAACAATGGTGATAGCTTGTGGATTTTTAATTTCCTGCTATTTAAACAGACCACTTGGCAGTGCCCTTTCAGTATTTGAACGTGAATTTCTCTTTTATCCTCATGAACCCTTCAAATTCTAGGCTGAAGTCCAGCCTTTGAGAGACAGAGCAAAAACAATTGGAAAGTCAAGAGATGTGGTCCCGAACTTCCCAAGAGCTGAAAAGGGTGTTGAATCAGGTTTCTGATATGGAGATCTAGGCTTAGAAGCAGCAAGACACCCCGGAGATGGAAGGTAGTCACCTGATTCCAGCTGTAGTTCTTCCACTGGAGAATACAGACCACTGCCAAGATGACAGCAAGGACCAAGGCCAGAATGCTGGGTATTCCTGTGGCTACTCCAACCACCCATGGTTCATACTAACTTACAAAGAAAGATAGCCCAGTCAAATGCATGCAGTGTGGTCCTTTACAACAGAGTTAGTAGCCGAGTGAGTGGCTACCATAAAACAGCAAGAAAAGCCAATATGAGGAATAAACCTGAAGCCCTGGATCAAAACAGTAGCTTCCAGCCCAGCTGTACTGTGAACTGGGGTGGACAGGGGAAGCAGAGGTTTGATTGCAAAGGGAAAAAATTCCATGTAATTAATTGTATTAAACAATGAAATATACTCTTACCCCAGAAGAGCAATCTGGCTGGACAGTTGCATTTCCAGATGTCTGCGCAGAAGTCTAGAAATACATGGTTATAGAACATATACAAAAGAGTGTTTCATACAAAGCAAGCAAGGGGAGAGTGAGCAGCTGCAAGACTCCAACAACAGCATGCTGTAACATGGTCAGTAACACATGGAGCACCCAGCTACGCTCCAAGGTCATGGTCCGTACTTGCCAGTCATAAGCAAGAACCAAAATTCTGCTCCTTCCAACAATGTCTCTGGCTGAAGGGAAGGAATATATGCTTTTCCTCAAAAAGGGGCCTGAGGCTGAAAAAAAAGCATATACAAAGCCTGTACAAGAGATAAATACAAATATATCCCAGAGGAAGTTGGACTCAGAAAAGCAGCACAAAGGGGAGTGGGAAGCCCCAGAAAAGATGTGTTTTTGTAACAGTCTGCTCTCTGTCCTTCCCATGGCGCTGGAGGCAGCTGCCTGCACGGCCTTGCCTAGATGCATGTGCAGGGCTCTAGCAAACCTCGTGTGCCCTAACACAAAACCCTCTGGCATTTTCTACCCATTGCAAAATGTTACACTCAGCTCCAAATTATGAGGCAGCTCCAGCAAAAAGGAAGTCCACCACACAGGCAGTGATGACAGCAGGTGCCTCTCTTCTCCCTTCTCCCTTCTCCCAGACTGACCCACCATCTCAAGCTGACATTGCTGCAGCTGAGAGCTGCAGGACCCAGCATCCACCCCAGACAGCCCTGGGGAGAGGGCTCTGGGAACAGGCCAGAGGTTGAGAGCTGAACATGTCTCCTCAAAGGCCACAGGCCAGATGGGTCTTCTCTGGACCCTGCAGATAACAGATGCTCTGTTTAACAAAGAATAGCCATGATCAATACCCACATCTACAGTCATCTTTCAGCAACTCAGCAGTCAGAAAATTGCCTTTCCTCATTCTGGGGCAGGCTGTGGCTGGACTGATTGTACACAATGACTATGATTCAGCAGAAAAAGCAACCGACTGATTCCTGGCTGGACAACAAAGCAGTGAAATGCCATTGAACCCTGACTGGGTGGATGCAAAACCAGAAAGGGTCTGTGCATCAGAACATTTCACAATATAGCAAGCAGGAAGGTAGGATTAGAAATACCAGTTCTTTGCAGGCCCACAACTTTTGGTGGAGAGAGAAGAACCTTGTGTCTTTTATCAAAGAATTTGTTGAGACATGTATCTTAATTCAGTGTCAGGACATGTAAAAGACCATCTGGTAACTGCTGTGATGCCTAGTGCCCTGCTCCCCTCACCATCCCCTCTCCCACTGTCAGAAAACAGAAATGAAATCTGAAACAACACACACATTCCCTTTAGTGAAAGGAGCAGGAAAGAAGTTCCGTTGTATTACAGGCTTAGCAAAATAACTTCTAGTTGGATTTGATAATTTTT